TTAAAGGAAGAATATCTTCAGGAACACCAAGACTGCCACACCCCAAAGCTGGAGTGAGCATCTCACCCTCAGAGGTTCTTCAAGGGAACAAACTGCCCTCCCCTTGACCTTTCACTTCTAGTTCCAGAACTGTGGTACAACAAAGTCCTGATGTTTAAGCCACCAAATTTGTGGTTCATTGTTTTTCCAGATCTGGCTAGCAACTGCAACAAGGTTGGTGGTGAAATGTAAACATGTCACCTACACACATCAATACAATGAACATGTGTGTGAATCCTCCCAAATGGAGAATCTCAGAAATCTCAAAGTCCAAGCAGCTTTTCAGGAAGATAATGAAAAACTGAGAAGGATGCTAAATACAATGTTTCAAGGTAGAGTAGGGATGCAGATCTTTATGTGAGAATGTTGAAGAGTATAGAAATAAGTTTTCCATTATTTAAAAGGCTTCTCTATGTTGCACTCTAAGGATTCACCAAACTCAACTCTTACTCTCTTCTATAGGACAAGTGCATAGCCGTTATCTTATGCAGACCTTGATACCCAAAAGAAAAGGAGCCCAGTCAGCCTATCATTTCTTAAATCTTGTGAGTAGGAAGTGGTTTTCATTTCTTGCTCAGGGAAATTAAATTCTACATGTGACCAGCAGACTTGAGACTTCTTATGAAATGCTGACAAGATAAATTTAAAATTACTGGAATGAAAGCTATCAACTGTCCAGAAATATCCTTCTCAAAGAGTAAAGGTACTGGTCTTTTTATATTCAAGAATAATAAATGGAAAAATGTTCAACACTCTCTAAGATTTTGAAACAAATCTACATGTTAAATTTATAACAGTTATTAACCTGCTCATTAGCTGAACATATCTTTTGTGGGCAGGCAGTTGTTAAGTGCTCGATTTGTTTCCTTATCATCAAATAATATGTTTGCTTTTGTTTGAATCACAATTGAGACAAGTCAGAGCATATGTGAAAACCATCTGGATTATTCAACAAGGACCAAATCTTTCCAAGGCTTTACAGAATGTAATTACTTTAAGAAGTAATGGTGTAGAAATTAGAAAAAAAATATGCCTTATAGCCAAAAAGACATGAGCTAAACATGTGTTGATACTACAACATGTGTAAGCACGAAAAGTTGTTGAAAGTCCATGAAACAAGGCTGCTAACAGGTGAGATGGAGAAACACTGTGATAGTAGGGACCACATAGGTCATAGCAAGAGATAAGTGAGGTAAAAATAGTATTGTTACTTCCAAATAATTGTTTCATTATGGCTAGTTACCATCACATTATTAACCTTAAATGTACAAGTAGTTTTATATAATGAATACTACTTAATTTTCTTTATGAAAGACTGAAAAATCTCAGGATACAACCTCTGTGGGAAGGAGAAATAGAATGGATTTTACGGGTGCTCTTCACTCTAAAGAGCATCACCCTAACCTTCCATGTTCCCAAGTTGCTTGACAAAGTCATTAATAGTATAGTTATCTGGTTATACTTTTTTTTCATGCCCTATCATATTGACTCCATACTGAAATTACAAGCCCTTTAACAGCACCCAAAGTTAACACAAATATTAGCTTTAACAGTATATTTCTGCATTTCTTAGAAATGATCTTCATATGGAATATTTAATCATCTTTATTTAAAAACTAAAGAAATATGAGCACACACAAACACACACACACACACACACACACACACACACATTAAACCTAAGCCAAATTTTCAATTCATTGTTCTCCTTCAATTTCCTGTCATAGATTTTTAAAAAGATGTTAAAATAGGGATGTTTGGAAATTATTTTCATCATCATTTAATAGTTACTAAGGTGAAAAAAGGCTTTGGCCTTGAGTTATTCCTAAAACAGAAGCTTCCTACAAGCTTCTTGTCACTGGATACAGTTATTTACTAACATTCAGAGATGGGAAAGTATGGAAGAAGGAATCCTCAGAAATATGTCAAAGAAGGCTTTTGAAAAATCCAAATCTGGAAAAACAAATTAGAAAGTCTACAAGAAAGGAATAATTTTCTCCATACCACCTACAAAAATTAAATCAAGATCAAATAAGCAGACCTATAAGCCAAGGGAAACAGAAGCAGCCAATAAAATTCTCCACACACACCCCCAAGAAAATGCCTAAGGCAGATGGATTTTGGCATTGATTTCTACCAGACTTTCAAATTAAAATTAATGTCAATACTCCTCAAATTATTCCACAATATGGAAGCAGAAGATTCAACAAAAGCTGTATATAGAAGATTCCAAATAGATGTATATCTATCACTCTGCACAAAATTCAACTCCAAATGGATCAAAGAACTCAACATAAAACCAGATAAAATGAAAGTGAGAGAAAAGGAAATAAGGAATAACCTTGAACTCATTGGCAGAGGAAAAGACTTCTCAACAGAAAACCATTAACACAGGCACTAATAATCAACAACTGATAAATAAGACATCATGAAACTGAAGTTTCTGCAAGGTAAAGACACCATTATTCAGACAAAACAACAGCCTACAGAATGGGAAAAGATGTTTCCCAACTACACATCCAACATAGGGCTGTCTTAATTAGGGTTTCTAGTGCTGCAACAAAAACACCATGACAAAAATGCAAGTTGGGAAGGAAAGAGTTTATTCATCTTACAGTTGCTATTCATTATTGAAAGAAGTCAGGACAGGGATTCAAACTGGGCAGAATCCTGAAGGAACTCCCTATGAGCCTATCAGGGTCATTTTCTTTTAAATCACCACAATCATGTATAAAAGCAATCTAAATGAAATCACCAAATAATGGGTGAGACTTAGCCCCAACTAGTTATCCGAGAATGGGTTACATCTAATTGAGTTTTTGGTCAATGAGGTCCCATCAGAACTTGCAAACAACCCAGGCAGTTGCTAAGATTATAGGCTGTTCTTTATAAACTGGTAGTACAGCCCCATTCCTGAAAACACACTTAAACAACTCATTGAACAAGAAACTTAGCTGGCTTCTACCTAGGTTCATGACTATAGGCTAGCACCTTGGGTATAGGAAGGTACTCTACACACTACCACAAGAGAAAGGTAAAAAGGAAGAAAATAAATTCTTACCATTTTAAACTAAATGACTTGAGAAAACTGGAACAAATGTTTAATATAAAAGGATGTCAACAATGACAATACGTTTGGATTTAGATCACTTATACTTATTCGAAACCCTACATGGCCCTCAACAGAAGAATGGATAAAGAAAACATGGTACATTCACACAATGGAGTATTACTCAGCTGTTAAAATAATGGCATTTTGAAATCTGCAGACAGATTGATGGAATTAGAAAGTATCGCCCAGACCAAGAAAAGTAAATGTGTTATATATTCTTTTCTTTGAGGACATTAGACATTCATTAAGTATATGACAACCACACTACAATCTGTAGACACAGAAAGGTTATATAGACAGAAAGGGTCTCGGGTGGGAGGGAGAAATAGAATGGAGTTTACGGGTGGATTTGGGGCAGGTGGAGACAGGAACAGTAGGATCAGGAAGGAAGACAGAAGGGAAGTAGGTAGTGTGAGAGAGAATGAAGGGAGAGACAGCTGAAACTGAGGGGCATTTGAGGGGGGATATGGAAATCTAGTGCACTGCAAACTTCCTAAACTACAAGGAGGAGATCCTAATGAGGTCTCCTATAATGGAAGAATACAGTCTAGCCATCTCTTGTTACTAAATGAGGCTTCCAATACAAGGACTGGGTTGCATTCAATTGATTTAGTGGCCAAAGGGGTCATATGAAAATCCCAAAACAACACAGGCTGATTCTAAGACAATGGGCAATGTCAGTCTTCTCTCTGCAAACTGAAAGTGAGGCACCATTGCTGAATACAACATCCATACAACTCATTGAACATGGAGAAGTCCAGCTGATGTCTACACAGAGCTCTCACCTCTACATTCTAGTGTCTTTGATGTGGAAAAGTATTCTGAAGGCTCAAAAAAGAGATACACAAATATCAACCTCTACATAAAGCCTTTGACCTACAATCTGTCCAGATATGCTAGGGCAGCAGTGGCACAGAGACTGTTGGAGTATTCAATCAATGTTTGATTTGACTAAGGCCTACTGTACCGCACAGAACCTGTAATTGACACCACTTGGGAGGCCAAGTACCAGAGATTAGATAGCACAGAGACCTAAGGTAAAACCAAACACTACTGGTCTAAAATAAACAAACAAACAAACAAACAAAAATCAGTAAAATGACTCCTAATGATATTCTCCTATACCCAGTGCCCTATTCAGTTATCATCAGAGAGGCTTCCTCTGGCAGCAAATGGGAGTAGGTGCAGAGACCCACAGCCAGACATTACTGGAGAGAGTCTAAATGGGAGGTCTCCACTAAATACCTCACTTCAGAACTCAGAGAACCTCAGGAAAGGGGAGGCAAAGAGGCATGAAAAGTGTAAGGCCAGAGAAGACTTAGGTCATCAGGAGGAAAAGGCTCTCTGAACCAACTAAGCAATGCACATATGTGCTCTCAGAGGAAAGAAGCAGCAAGCACAGGCCATACACGGGTCTGCACCAGGTTCTCTGTACATATATTATAGAGTTTAACTCGGTATTTCTGTGGACCTCCTGAGTATATATTGTCAATATATATTGTATGAGAGAAGAATCTACTTTCAATAAATGGGAAAGTGGAAAAAATTATAATAAATATTAAACCACCATGAGAAAGTAATTGCTTCATTCACCTGGAAAATAGTTCTCATGAGAGAGTTCTAGTCATTTGAGAAATAGTTACATTTACTAGAGAAGTCTGCAAGACCACCTGGCTCAGGAAAACCACTTCCTTTAGCTTTTAGATTTGTTTGAAGAGGGCCCACAGGATCCAGAAAGGCAAACAGCAGGAGATTTGTTGTAAATTTATTATTTAAATATGCTGTTATTTAATATTAGGAAAACAGATACATGGCACATGTGACTCACTATTTAAAACATTGAACTTACTTGCTTTTCCCTTTGTATACTGTTGCATAAGATCCTTCTCCTAGTTTCTCCAGTTTCTCATATGAGTCGGCTTTCCCAAACTTGGGACTTGTTGGCTAAACGTGGAACAGGGAAAACAAAGCAGATAGTATCAAAGTACCAATTGGCTGACAATGGAAAAATAACTTTCTGATATAAGAATATTTTTCAAATAATGCAATAAAGTCATAGTACAAATTCATAACACAAACACATGTAGAATTAAATTTACCCATAATCTAACCAGGAGAGCACTGTAAATATCTTGATACAGAACACCCCAAGGCTGTCTTGCTGGCAAATGCTTTTTATATAGATGTCTTCACACTCAGAATATATGTTTTATGATCTGTGTTCTCACATTTCAATGTGTTATGAACATTTTTCATATTAAGGCATAATCTTCTAAATTAGAGATTAATCAACTATTATATACAGGTCAAACATACCCTGCCATGTGTTTTATACATCCTATTGATGTAGAGTAATTGTTACCTTGTTTCAGTAGTTGGGGAGGGAACAAAAGGGAAAAAAATCTGTAATATTTGAAAGTTGTACATAAATCACATTTTATTATCCACAAAGATTTATTAGAATGGTCATGTTATCTATGGCTTTCCAATTATAACAAAGCTGTAATTATAGCATAAATTATATTACTGATAATGCTGGTAATACTGTTACTCTTATAGTAAATCACAACTGTATAGTCTTCAGTCATTAAAAAATAAGCCTTCAACATATTGGCAGTAAGTCAAATAGATAACGTACACTACATAGGGATAACTGATCACCCTAATGTTGCATCTTACTAGATCTTAAAAACATTAAGAACTGACATGTGAGATGACATGAAATCAAGGAGTGTCTATACTGCAAAGGCAACAAGCATCAGAAAGGAGAGAGAGACAGCCTACAAAATGGGAGAAAATCTTTGCAAACTGGGTGTGTGGTAAAGGATTAACATAAACAACACTGGAAGGTCTCAAAAAATTAAACATGAAAAATCATTTATCAATAAACAGGTGAATAACTAGAACTGTTCTCAAATGTAGAAATATAGATGGTCAATATTTGTTCAAATTAAAAAAAAATTGAGATGCCATCTCATCCCAGTGAGAAAGTACCACCAAGAAAAAACATGACAAAAAATGCTAGAGAACCCTTATACACTGCAGGTGAGAATGTAACTAGTGATTTTACTATGGCAGTAAAGAACTCAGAAAATACAATATATGCAACCCGCCTAGATCACCATCAATAGATTAATTAGATGAAAAATAAAATTCATATACACAATGTAATTTTATTCAGCCATAAGGAAGCTGAAATTCATAACATCTTCAGGAAAATTGATAGATTATCATTAACATGATATAAATAGCAATGGCATAGGCAACATAAGTCAGACTCTGGAATACATGAGTCATGTTTTCTGTCATATATGGACCCACATATTTGTGTGTGTGTGTGTGTGTGTGTGTGTGTGTGTGTGTGTGTGTGTGTGTGTGAACCCATATATGACATATACAGACATCATGAAAGAAGAAGAAAGACTACGATCAGGGGGGAAAAAAGGGGGATTTGCTTATAAACACACATGAAAGAGAGGGGAAAGTGCTTACAAGGAGAAAGTTGTACATTGAGATTATAGGGGAGAGTAGTGGGAGGATTAATAAGAGAAAGTACAATGATACAGATAACTATAATGTCACAATGAAGCTCATTTTATGCCAACTATAACATTCAATAAAAATGAAAAGACTAAGTATGTTCTTTTGTCTCCTGCCCATATCAAATGTGACATGGTAACTAAAAATACATTCTTCAAAATTAATGATTCATTATGATGAAAAAAATTATCTAAGCAAACATTTTAAGGAATCTTGAATGGTATAATGTAATTAGGAGTAAAATTTCAGAGAAATGGCCCTAAACACATAAGAAAACTATTAGACTAAAATAGATGAAACCTTTAAGAATACATGAGATTGGTCAATACAGCGAGAACACTAAGTCTTCCCAAGAAAGGTAAGGTGTGAGTTAACTTTATAAAAACAGGAAGGGCAGATGAGAATGTGGTCTTCGGTTTGAAGAGAAAAGCAAAGACTCAATTGGTCAACATCCATACAAGGGCCAATGTAATAATACAAATAGCCTTTGATTACTTGAAAAAATATTCAACACCCTTAGTCATCAAGAGAATGCAATAATTTCTAAGGTTTTTTTATGCAATTAACAGAAGCAAGTGACAGAAAAAGAATAAGCTAGCATTGGTTTCTCAAATAAAAACATGAGTACAAATCCTAAAGTCACAAGTCAATTCACACAATCATGAAAGATGAAACCATGAAAGAGAAGCATGGAGATTAATGGTCAGAGGAGGAACTAAAACTCTAGTAGCAGAGGTAACAGCCCAAAGGCATGAATTTGAAGTTATTGTATGATCAATATGTAATCAGTATAAAAACATTTCATGAGTATTGAATGGGAGAAAAGATTTGGTTGAAATACAGCAATAAACTCAGTTTTAAACAAAATTCTCACCAGAAATATCAAGGAGAGACTGCATCTACATAGAAAAGTTAATCAGAGTTAACAATGGCTGCAAAATAGTAGGTAGTATTTTATAAAGTTAAGAGGAAGTGGTTTGGCTGGGACTAGTTGGCACTCCCGAGGCAGAGGTAGGGGGATCCCTATGAGACTGAAGTCAATCTAGTCTACATTGTAAGTTCCCAGGACAGCAAAAGCTATGTGGAGAGAACCTGTCCCAAAATAAATAAATAAATAAACAAACAATCAAACAGACAATGACTTTGTATCACTAATTCTGTTCTTGGCAGTGTGACCACAGAAAGATATGAATACACTGTAACTATAAATAAGGTGTTAACTCCTACAACATAAGGCTTGGCTGGACTGGTGTGTATAAGAAGGCAAAGAAAAGAGAAAATCATGTTGAGATTTATTAATTAATTAGAACAAAGCACAGACACTAACTCCAAAGTCACACAACTTAAAAACTATTTGTTACATTTTTATAAGTTAGGATGTATACGTGTTAAATAAGTAGAGGGATGGAAGTAAGAGTATAAGGAAAGGGAAGTTGGTCAAGAGATTCTCAAAAAAAAAAAAATAGCATACTAATTGAATCATCATCAAATAAGGAGAAAGCTAAGCTCAACATAAATGAACCACCTTTGCCAAATAAAAGTTCACAGATTAGTGACTGGGTGGGGTGGGTAAACAATATGCTACTGAGAAGATTCAAATAAAAGAGTGAATCTGAAAATAAGGAAGTGGAAAAGCTACCTGATGTTTATTTATATTTGTATTTCTGATGTGTTACTATAGTCTGTATGTGTGCACATGAACATTTTCAAGACTGAAAAATCAACCCCTGAAAGTAAGCTTTCAAGTTACTGCTTTCTTAACAACAGTTCAATCTATCAATTAAGACAAAAAAAAAAAAAAAAGAATTATTACATGTAACTAAATAGATGGTTTTTGCTGCTGTTGTTGTTGAATATAAATAAATGGTATTGGCAAAAATGATTGTCCAAGGAATGAAATCAAATCCCCATTTTGCATCCTGCACAAAAATCAATTCAAAACACAACAAGGACTTTAACTTATAACCTGAAATATTAAAACTGCTAAGAGAAAATAGTCTAAGATATAGGCATAGGCAGGAACTTTCTGAATCAGATGCTAATAACATAGGAAAATAACCCTAAGAATTGACCAACTGAATGACAAAGGAGACAATCACCAGAATGGAAAGAGAGCCTGAAGAAAGAAAATTCTACTTCAGTCAGGAGGTTACTAGATAGAAAATCTAAAAATTTATCACCAAAAAGTTGCCAGTCTATAAATGGGACAAAAGATCCACAGTTCTGCTTCCCAGGTATTATGCCTAGAGCTGCAATGAACACAGATATAAAGTGTCTCTGTAATAGGCTATACCTAAGCTCCTTAGAGCACAGACCCAGGATGGTGTAACATGGTAGTTCTATTTCAAGCTTTTTGATAAACCTCCATACTCATCTAAAATGACTACACAGCCTCACACTCACCAGCACAATCAAGGGTTCCCTTTCCCCCACACCCACACCCATACCAAAGGAGCTGTCATTTGTATCCTCACTGGGGTGATAAATGACATCAAAAAGTGGTTTAAAACTAAGTTTATGTGAAGTTAACAATGTTAAACACTTTTCAAAGCATTCCCTAGCCATTTCAATTTTTCCTTTAAGAACTCTGAGTAGTAGTACTTCATTGTATAAATGTACCACATTGTCCTTATCTATTCTTTGGTTAAGGAGTATCTAGGTTGTTTCCAGGTTCTGGGTATTAAAAATAATGCTGCTATGAACACAGTTAATCAAATATCCTTGTGGTATAAGTGTGCATACTTTGAGTATATGCCCAAAAGTGGTATTGCTGGGTTCTAAGGTAGTTTAATTCCCAATTTTCTTAGAAACCGCCATACTGATTTCCAAAGTGGCTTTTACAAGTTTGCACTCCCACCAGCAATGGAGGAGAGTTCCCCTCACTCTACATCCTCTCCAGCATAAGCTATCCTGAGATGGTATCTCAGAAGGTGTTCTTTACTTTTGTTCTTTTTCTTTTCTTTTTTTTTTTTTTGAGACAGGATTTCTCTCTGTAACAGACCTGGCTGTCCTGGAACTCTCTTTGTAGACCAGGGGTGGCCTTGAACTCAGAGATGAGCTTGCCTCTGCCTCCCAAATGCTGGGATTAAAGGCATTTGCCACCACTGCCCAGTGAAACTTGCAGACAAATGAAAGTAATTAGAGAAAGTGATCCTGAATAAGGTAAGCCAGAACCAGAAAGACAAATATAATATATACTTGTATATAAGTGGATATTAGACATAAAGCAAAGTCAAAAAGCCAGAAAACCTAGGTGGCAAAGAGGACCCTAAGAGAGAGACACATGGATCCACCTAGGAAGGGGGAAAAAAAACAAGATCTCCTGAGGAAACTGGGAGCTTGAGGGAGTGGGGGGGGGGGCGCAGAAGGATAGATGGGATGAGGAGGGGAGTAGGGAAAACGTA